AGGCGCATGCGCGGCGGAAAGTGTAACAAGTTGTTGGGCATTCATAACTCCGGTCTCCGCAGCGTCTGACCTAGATTTCCAGCCGGCTGCGGCGGAAACGTCGGTCCGCTTTAAAGGAAGGGGAAAAGTAAGAATGATTAACGGCAAATGAGCCATTCGGCGGCGTCCTCGGCGCGGCCTTTAAAGCGCAACCGAACGTAGAAAAGCGATCTTCCTGTAACCTTCGCTCACGGTCACACCGCGCTGGCCACGATTACTTCCTTGCCGCGCCACTGACCGCGGTCTTAAACCGTTCGGGAAATTTCTCCGCTCGCCGAACTTGGATCCTCCCGGTTCACGCTGGAGGGAGGGATTCGGCGACTGCTGCTAAATATGTGGGGTTAATGGCGCGAACGTCCGGTAACTATTTAAGGAAGTAATTGGATTCGATCAAGTAAATACGTAGTTCCATAAATCAAGATTTTGTTGCTCCGACCATACGTTTAGGCCATCGAACCGAAATTTGGGAATTAATTAATTAACAAATCTTGATGAAACGATTTACTAAACATGCTATCCATTCATCGTTTGATTCTATAAGCTTGGGCGAAACGAATTTCTACAAGTAAGACGCTTAAAAGACGTCTTATATTTTGAAATAGCTTTCAGACGTTTTTGAAAGGTCTTTTAGAAATTTGCTCCGCCTGGGGGGAGCAAATACGTTATACGTTATACGTTCTAGTGAAGGCTGTTATTTGAAGAAATACGGGGATTCCGTAGGGTCGGTTGTTTGCGTCCGAGTGTAATCCGATTTGTGGATTATTCGTGCTCCGACGTATTTTACTGATAATTACTGACGAAGATGAGAGAAGCATTGTATTGAAAGGGACTTTTCAGCGGTGAGAAGCAAGTGATCGCACATAAATTACATATATATATCGCAAATCAATAATATAATAAATTACAGTCGTGCGATAATTTCTCTCTCGCTCTTCGTGAAGCGGTACGCTTCGGAATATTCATGTTTCCCCGATTACCCGTGCGGTCCTCCGTCCATCGTTGCGTCGTATAATCGAGGAAGAGGTACGCGATAAATGCAAAAGTTCCCGGGATTAGGAGAAATTACGATACGACCAGGCATATTTGATTGGTCGCACGTGTAGCGGCTTCGATCGCTTTACCGGCGTGCGGCGCGATCGACGCGAGCAACACCGTCGACGTTAGCAGACGGCTGGTGCGCAATTTCGCCGCACGACAATTTCGCAGCACGTGTAAACATAATGAAGGCATGCCACGGTCTCGTAAAACACGAGCGGCCGAGGGTACGTAGGCGACGTAGGTGGGGAATATACGCGATGCTACGTGGCTAAATATAGAAGAGCGCCTTTATGGCGCGCGCGCGGTCGTCGTGCCACGAGTACCCAAACGATCGACGGATCCTGATGGCCTTTATTCGATCGAACTCGCTCTCATTAAGGCCAGCGGGGCGAGTCGTGGAATCAAATATCGCCATGAATTCGTAGCGCGCTACGGGATCGCCGCTGCGACTTTGCGAACGGCCGAACCGTTTCTATTTGCATACCGCGATATCGTCATTTTTGCCGACGAAGGCGCACCGATCGGAGAGCAATCCGAGATCGGATCGAGAACATTTTTTTAATGTCGGAGAAATGTCGAGGTGGTTATACGCGCGCCACATGACCGTTTAGACAGGTTCGACTTGTTAAGATCTTATTAAATAATACGTTTTATTGAGGCGACTGGTACGTAAATTCATTTTCTTATAGGAATCTTTTCAACCTTTAACAGCATATTAATCGAAACACAATCCACACACACACACACACACAGAATTTGAAGAATATCGGCCATACCGGAGCTGAAGTAATTGAAGTCAAAATTAGCATTATTTACACGTGTCACGTTTTTAATTCCGGCGACCAAATTACTCTTGCGATTTTAATGAAAAGCGATAAAAGAGGTTTGCAGGAATATTATGAAAAATTATGAGGTCGTTTTGATCATCCAGTTTTTCAGGAATTGATATGTCAAATACACGATTTCTGATAACGATTGAAATATTATATGCCATTGTTTATCTGTCAAGATTTGACACACAAATATTGTACGTGCTATATTTCCTTTTATACTTGTTGGTTAGTTGTGTTCTTAAAGATAGAGTAATTAAATATGTTAAACATCTCTAATTAGTACGTAAAGATGCGAGAAGTACAGAAAATACGGAAAAATCCGACGTCAAGATCATTTCTTTAATAGCGTACGTTTATGCGTACGTCTATCGTAATACGTATGGTATATTTACAAACATATGCCTAATACGGGCAGTTTTAGCCGAAAACACTATACGTCGAAGCACGAAGAACGATTATTTTTTATACGAGTTTCTAAACATCACAAGTAAGTTTGATCGATATTTTCTTACTGTAGAGTGTCAAAGCTGTATATCATAAATCATGTTTATGAAACATTTTGATTTTTCAAGTTTCTTCATGTTATATTAACCCTTTGCACTCGAGGGTTCCGGAGCGGAGCCATTTCAAATTTGTCTTCAAACTTAAAACAAACTATTAACAACTGTTAACAAATTAACAAAATAAAAAAAACAACATACAACAATGACTTTTCTTTTAATGCGCATATCATTTACTTATATGTGAATATGATCTTTCCACTGAAATTGCTTCGAGTTGCTGGTAATATGAATGAAGAAAAACTTCGAGTGCAAAGGGTTAATCATTATCTTCCTAACAATATTTTCATGGATCACGTACCTTGAATAGTCTCTCTTTTAGAAAGCGGGGAAGATAACAAAATTGCAGTTCGTGGCTACACACACACACACACATTCGCTAGATTTTAATTAAATCATCGAGGATCCCGAATCTTTTGTCTGTTTTTCATTTGGTCGCTTTATCTCTCTGGTTAAATGACGAAAATGAGCAACGATTTAACGAAATACACGTTGCGCAGAGGCCCTTACAAATCGCCGATAGCCATTTCGTAGATCAAATTAATGGCGTCCTTTGTTCGCTCACCGTGCTGATCCTAGTAACATTTCCGACCACGAGCGCGTCTCGCTCGACTGGCCGTAGAACTCGAAGAAGAAACCGAGAGACCGAGGAAGCGCACCGAGTACCGAGTTCAAGGACAAAGAGTTTCCCCTGAAAATCAACGGGGCACCGTTCCAGAAGAAGAGAGCCGCTCCTTTTCGCTCCGATCTTACATTTGTCAATCCGATACAGTCGTCTGATCTTGTCAGAGCGCTTCGGGAGGGATTACCACCCCCTTAATTCACGCGGGAATTTATCGACTGGGAATCGACGAGGAACTTCCACGCATACCACTCGAGGAGGTGTTCGAAAAAGGAGCGAGAAGATCGATCTAACAAATGACGAGCCGCTATCGGCCCCGAGACGTATAATTTGCGAATTACAATTACACGCGCGTAATTACGGCCGTGAAAGAGAAAGAGAGAGGGAGACGCGCGTGCACACGTACGGTTGGACCGACGGCTCGAGAAAAAATACCCTTTGTCTCCCTTTTTCGGCCGGTCGGTCGGCCGGTTGGTCGGCAGGTCCCAGTCGAAAGATCGGCCGGTGAGATAAGCGAGTCGCTTGCTTTCCGATCGGATGCAACGGATGATCGGTCGGCAAGAAGTGCGTGAGAGGTAACGTGGGCGGGTGGAACTTATTGCGGTGGGTGGGCCACGCCGAGAGAGCGTGTGACAGAGATGAACGACGCGCCGGTCGCGCTCTGATCGTGCACGTGACAGAGAGGAGAGCCACGTGTGTGAGGGAGAGAGTGAGAGGGAACGCGCCTGTAGTCGTGAGCGCGAGCGAGACGGACGGCGAAACGGAGCGTGGAGATGCTGCGGTTTGGAGAAAGGGAGAGAGAGAGAGGGGGGAGAGAGATTTAACCAGAGCGAGAGCACACGAACGGTGATTCTGCGTCGAGTATGACGAACGATACTTGAATGCGCGACGAGGATGTGCGTCTGAGAAAGATGGAGCGGAACGTTTCATGTGCGGTTGCCGTGCGTGTGGAGAGACGATACCACACTATCATACGTCGAAGATGGATTGGTCGGAGAGAAGGACGGCGAGAGAACGCGCGTGACGAGCTAGAACGGGACGGGGGAATTAGTGGAGGAGAAACCATGGAGCGCGTTAGGCTGTAAAACTTGCTGCTGAGGGGAAACGATGAAGAGAGAAAAAGAGCGGAAAGCTGCGCTCTCTTAACTGGGAGACGGTTGATGGAACGCTGAGAGAGAAAGAAGGAAAGAGAATAAGAGAGGGAAGGAGAGATGATCTCTCGAATGCTCGCCTGCGGTATCATGAGAAGGTGTGCGTATGTATGTGTGTGTGTGTGTGTTGTTTGCGTGTGACTCTAAGCCGGGGAGGGTTAAAATTGAATGGACGGAGCCACGCATCGCATTCAAGCGGGGAAGATGAGAGAGCCGGCTTGGCAGTTCCAGAGTACATCTTGATTTTCCTCAACGGGAGCGAAGCGAGGAGGTAGCGGAATCCGTTACGCCACGTGGGTCAGAATGAGAGAGAGAGAGAAAATTTTGATTTTGGACGTGTGGCGTGAACTCCCCTTGCCGATTCATCATGCGAACTTATGCTCGAGCTGATGAAATCGGCCGACTGGAAATGCGATAACGGCCTCCGCGTTGCGTAAATTTCGCCGGGGACGAAAGTTTCAGGTCGTTACGAAGGGGATGAAATTTGCCTCTGAAATCTATTTATGTCGTTACGTACACGTACAGCTTCCAAAATACCCCCCTGCTTTTATTCCGTGATATTACAGAATTGTGTAAATGTATCGTATACGCGAAAAAAAATTTTTTTTTTTTTCGTTGAAAAACCAACGGAGAACGGGCTTCTACGTGTTACACGGCAAACACGTCGGAGAATCTCTTATAATACTCCGTTTATTTTTTACTCGCATTAATTAAATAGACCGTGCTGATGGGCGGCGTCCTTTTTGTGTGTTCGCAGTTACCCAATGCACGGCGATTGCCGAGGGGCGATATCCGCATTTAGAAGGGCAAAATGAGAGGCGGTGCCGGTGATGCTCCGTCGATGGTCACGGTTCCCGCCTCGACGTCTCTTAATGTAAGTACATCGTATCCCCCCCCCCCCCNCCCCCCCCTCCCCAAAGTACGCGGTAATTAACGCTGCTTCGCAGCGTGAGATAAAAAATCACGAGATTCCAATACGAGGCCGAAACCCATAGGAAATTTCTCGATATCTAATTGGCGTCCAGTCCGACTTTCGAAAGTAATTGAAGAAAGTCTACGTGGATTCTAGTCAGAGATGTAATTGTTTCAAATACAATTGCAACACACGATTCTAAGTGAGGGATGTAAACAAAATTCTGCGTCCGTGTATCATCGGGAACGACTGCGACAATGTGATTTGAGATCCGCGTGGAAAAATCGGTCGGGCCGCGCTCGAGATGTCGCAGCACTGCGCGAGCTTTCGCGAGCCAATTATCGCCGTCGACTTGATCGCCGGTATATAGGTGAGCGTCGTTAACGAGCACGGAGAACCGGTGCGGCGGGTATCTCGAGAGTCGGTAGCCGCGTGCGGATCACGGCGTCACTCGCCATCGATCGTGTTCGATTAAGCATCTGGGCTCGATCGATAGCGCACGAAGCCCCTCCGAAGCTGCAATTTTCACTTGCTTCTTTTTTTTTTCATTCATCGAGTGTGAGTCTCTCCCCCTCTCTCTCTCTCTCTCTCTTTCGACGCTAATAAATCATCGCCGATTTCGGAAGGGGCATTAAGAGAGAACGTCTTTTTTAGTTAGCCGGATAGCTCGCATGGATTCGTTTTGACGTCGATAATTGAACTGGAACGGTTATTGTTGCACGACGGACTCGGTGTGTGTGTGTGTGTGTGTTGCGCACGTGCGCACTTTCGGAGAGCTGACCTGCGGCCGCCGACGTTAATGTTTCAGGTGATTCCGCGCAATCGAGATCGGCGTTGCACGCGAAGCGCTGCCACGCGACGCGTCACCCTGCCCGATAGCCCCGGGGGTGGGATTAATGCGGGGCGGTCTATGGGGGGTAAAGCGGAATGGAGGGAGCGCGCGGGGGGACATCGCTCGTATTCATTACCATGGCAGCTCCGTCACTTTCTGACGCTGTTGCGCGTTTACATAGCCGGCGGCGTAAATCAATTCGAGGCCGCGAGCCGCGATCGACCTTGCTACGTGTCGCGAAAGTGGCCGGAGGAGAACATTGGCGCGCGCGGGCCGGAGTATAACGTCGTCACGGGAAGAAGAAAAAGAGGAACGGCGCGAAACGCGGCTCTCCGAGATTTCTCTCGAGACGTGTTGAATTCGTAATGCTGATAATTGACAAGGGAACGCGCCGTCCGACGACGATAATCTATTTCTACGTCGTCGTTTGCGCGCGCTATCAGTCAGGATCATTAAGGCGCGCGAAAAAGATGAAGTGGTCAGCCGTGGCTGAAGTAAGTTTTGTAGAGCGTATCCGCTAAAATATTCAGCGGGGAGCCGGCTAGTCGAGAAAAAAGAGAGAGACGAACCGAGAGCGAGCGAGAGAGAGAGGCGGAGAGAGAGAGATTATATCGGACTCGTTCGGTGCCTCTTCGCGAGGAACAGTGCCATAAATCATGCATGCCAGTCGCCTTCCGCAATGCAAATTTATCGATTCCACGTGAGCCTTTCAATTTCAAGAAGCAACGTCGACGTCACGACGACATGGCGGGATTCGCGGACGGTCACCGCGAGTTCTTGCAATGACACGGATACGATAACAATACGTTAAAATTCAGCCGCTGACGCTTTTGACAGGACGATAGGGTAAATTCGAGACGAGTTATATCACCGCGGACATCATGACTTTCGGAATTTTCCGACCTATTTTGCTGATCGCACACATCGTCGCGTTACTTTCCGTTGATCTCCCCGGGCTCACGATGAGATGCAATAAGGAATAAAGAATTGATGTACGAAAGAAAGTCAGTTGGCATGAATCGGTAGTTATCACGATAATGATAAAAATATCAACGATGAGTAAAGATTCGTCTGATAGTATGCGCGTGTGGTGATCCAGTTTCAAAATGTCCCCGTATCTTATTCTCTGTCCCTTCCATTGTGTTTCAAACTACAGCTTATCTCGAACATTTTATTCCCGATCGCTTGTGTCTTCGTGCTTGAGCGTTTAAAATGTTGTTGTCGTTATATTATTTTACTTTCACCACCGTATCATTATTATTCTTACGTTATAAATATTTACGTTTTATACTGATTTCCTCACCGTATTCGTACCTCGTGTGTTACACGTGTTATTATACAAGAAGCTCGGCGTTTGTTACATTTGAAGCGCGTCGCAGAGGGAATACTTGTCAGCTCACACGCGGCTCGCCGTGCGTGAACATTTGCATCGCGATGCAGACGTAGAAATACAAGCCGCCTCGCGAGCAACAAAGTGGACGAAAGCGAGCAAGCGCTAGAACGGTAGCTGCCGGCTTCCCGTTTCGAAGCGGCGACGAGAGGAGGGCGCGCTTTAGCGAACGACTGAAATTGTGAACCGGGACTCACCTCGCCGTTACGCGAGTTAACATCGTCCGCAGCGCGTTCGCGACTCCATAAAGGTCCGGTGCACGGCCTGCGAACGTTTACGATCGCGCGCGCGCGCGCGAGACCACGTCGAGCGGATCTAAGCGCGCGCTTCGTGGGGCCCCGGTCGCCATCCCGGGGACTTACTAATTGGCCTTAAGTGCTACAAGGCCGCGGCGGAGCGCGCGCTCTTCGGAGATGGAGACGTCGGTCCGATCGAAGGACAGTTACTTCAGCCTTCGCTGAACCGGCAATGGCAGAATCCTCCTCTCCGTCGAACTGGTTTCACTCGGCTGGTAAAGCTTTGATAATGCGACAAGCGACGCTCGTTTCACGGTTAATCGTGTTCAGGACGAATGCGAGAAGGACTTCTCCCTTCGTTTTCAGCGCGCGGCCTCTCGAGGACGATCGTCGAAGGGCGTCTCCGAGCGTCTTGCGGTAACATACGCTGATAAATGAGCTTGACCGGACCTACTTGGCAACCTGGACAACGCGACTCGGTGGAAGGATTTCTGGATTTATAGAAGAATTCCCTCGGTAGAAATTTCACACGTTTCTCGAGAACCGGACTAGTTAACTTTCAGTTTAACTTCGTCTAGTAACTGAAGAGCAAAATTAATTGGGATTTTCAACAAGCTCATTTTTCAACGTACGCGCGGCGAACTGGATTTCAGCGAATCCTTTTAGCATTCGACGAAAAGTAGCAGCGCGCGCTCGGTCTCGCGATTGTCTGCCTAGGCGGACGTTGCGGCCGACGATTGATAATCTAAAGAGGTTGCGCGATTTCTTCACTTCCTCGCATTCTCGGAATCGATCGACGGTCGTAGTCGAGGAAGTTCGTAAAGTCTTCGCTTGATCCAGCCTTATCCGGCCTTATTTGTTGAGTTTTCTTTGAACTGAGCTTTATATTTTTTTCACTGACGAGATGCATTGAGTAATCTTTGAAGAGTATATGTGCTTCTCTTAGAACTACCGTCGATGCGTTCATTAATATCTCGCCTCACGATTGGCAAACACCACCGCAGTGGATGCGACAATTTGAGAGCTCTTTAACTCCGACGGTAAAATGTTAGGCCTACGGAGGCCTACACGCGTTTTCTTTCGTTCACTCCCTCTTCCACGTTTCGTGCAAGATACCACACCTTACTCCTATTCTTATATTACTCCGAAAAAAATTGGGTCCGTGTCATCGCCGTTATTATGAGCTTGATCCGATTGAGATGACTGATTTTCTGACGGCAATCCTTTGTGAGACATCAGGTTTATTTCACAGGGGATTTATTTCTGTGAAATGAATCTTATATTCCGCGGATAAATTTTTAAATACTCTCTCTCTCTCAACGCGGTAGAAATAGCTTTTCTCATTTCGATCGAAGAACAAAATCTTTCGGTTGCAGCGACCAAACAGTTCGTCGAGCGTGTATTAACCAAATCATTTGATTGGGTCTGCTTATAAATCCGATTACACGATAACTAACTTAATGTTTCAGTGTGTGACAGCCGAAGACAACATAAGCGACGACGTGTTCGAGATGGAGGACGACCACTCCTCCGTTACGTATGCCCTTTCCGGTGGCCTTACTCCTGCGAGCGGGGAGCGACGTCCCGACAAGGCACCCTCGCCTACCGGCTACCGGGATTACAAGCCGCCTGCCGAGGTGCTCAGTAACAATTACAGCACGACTTTCAGAACAACGAGAGACTTCGACAACGTGAGAAGCGCCTTGAAGAGGGACCATGAGAAAGAGGATAATTTCACGCACAAGGTGGGTCTTTGCCGAGTTCCTCTCGAAAGTTCTCGAAAGAAACGACGGTCTCCCTCTCGTTATTTCGCGGCCGATTGATTTCGCCCGCAGACGCACAATCGAAAACGAAAAACGTCCTCCGTTTTTGAGATATTTCAGCTTCTCTTTAAGTACCTGTCGGGCCATGTGAGCCGATATCGAGCGCGACGGGGCCGGAATTCGAGGCGAATTGACCGCAGGCTGCGCGCGTGCCCGTCGAGTAAATCGGGTAGATCACCGCGTTTCCGAGATGCAACCAGGCTGACCTTGCATCCTTCGTGCCAAGGACAAGGCGGCCCTCCTCTCCTCGACGGTGCCGGCCGCGCTGGAATAATGATCGGGAATGCCAGAGGTCCGTGGTAGCCGTGTAGTACGGCCCCCAAGACGATTCCCCGACCTTCATTTCGCGTCTTCGGTCTCTTCTTCGCTCGGCTTCGCTTCTCTCCCTCTACTTCTTCTCCTCGTCCTATCCAGCTCCGTCTTCTCTCTCTCTCTCCTTCTCTCACGACAGTGTGCGAGCTGGCCGAGCGGCTCGCCACGAGCTCTCTTCCAGCTCGTCATAAGATTCCTCTGTCTTCGCCGGCTCGCGCTCCCTTCGTCGTCTTCATTCGTAAGCGAAAGGCGCGACTCGCGGACGGATTCATGCGCGTAAATTAGACGGCACACCCGCGGCGCCGAGCTCGAGCAGCCTACCTCTCGACCGGTTCCCGACTGAAATAACGACGGAATAACGAGGAAATCTCCCGATTTTCTCCCATTCTCCCCCGAGGGTAAAAATACCAAGGAGGATATCTCGAAACTTCCTTCCGGCCCCTCGCAGCGGTCGTGTGCGAGTCACATTCGGCATCGTCTCGGGAAGTAATCGGGACGCGTACGCTCGATTCCCGATCCTGGGCGATAACGCCGCGGCGCAGACGAGCGAGCGCTTAATATAAGACGCGATCGCGCGGCCCGATGCACTTTTCCGCGTGACGTTTGATTTTATATTCGACCCGGCGCGCTATAAAGTAGAAGCCCCAGAAGCCATCAGACACTTTTCTTTTTTTCTTCGTTGTTGCTGCCGCAATTAAGGAGAGGGTTCTCTCTCTCTCGTAACTACTCAACGCGCCACGGATCGCGGAAGGAGGAGGAGGAGGAGGGGAACCGGCGGGCTTGAATAAGCTACTACACAGGGGGACCAAGTAAAACCGGTAGGGGGTCTACCGTCCCGAGCCGGTTCTTGCCTTGCACTTTCTTCGGCCGTCCGGGCACCTCGTCAGTACTCACTTCGTACCGCCTATAAGGGATAATTGAAGACCCCGGCTGCAGCAGCCAGCTGAATTTTTGCAAATTCTCCGCGGGAGAAGAGGGGAAGATAAATAGCGAATTAAGCGCAGAAAACCGCGTAGAACCCCCTCTGTCCCCCTCCTCTTCCTGGCGTGTGTGTGTGTGTGTGTTTTATCTCGTCCGGCTGCTTTTTCGTATCGCCTCATTTCCATTTCTGCTCCTTTTTGCAGTTGACGTTTTAAGTCGGTCAAAACGAGCGAACTTTCCCGTGCCATTTTCCGAGTGCATTATTGAACGATTTATTCGTAGATCAGAGCTCGGGAGGCTATGATTTCTCAATAATTAGGCCGAGAGCATCTCTTTTCAGGATCTTTATTGAGAGTTTTTATAATTACTTTGAAGTTTTCAAAACCCTATTATAACAATTTCTTAATTTCCTAATGTTTATATATATATATATATATATATATATATAATAATAATAATAAATTCTACAAAGTCTGGAAGATATTTATAGAAAGGTATTAATTAATGTGATTATTAATTGCGGATTAAGAGGGTTATTATCGCACGTCCAGCGATGGCTCTCACGGCTAAATCTTTCTCTCTCTCTTACCGGTTCTTTCCATCAAAACCGACAAAAAGTTTTCGGTCGGCAGAAACCTGCCACGCGGATGTGCGAGCGTAAAAATTCGAAAGAGCTTGAAAGAGTGTGAACAAACACGGCCATGAATACAGAACGACCGAGTTTCAAACCGAGGTCTTCTTCAGTGTTAACGAGACTAAACGGACAAATTTCATTCTTCCGCGGCAAATTAAAAAAAAACAACTCCCAACACACCCTCAATTATACTTCGCACAGGACCTTAAAACGCGCTCTAGCAAATCCGGGGGGAAAAAGGGACTCCGTCAAAATTTCGCGTTTTTTTTCATCTCGTACATACGCACGTGCGATGCCGCGCGCGCAATTTCTGTTTTGAAAGGAACCGAACGACGAGGGGGGTTTGTTTTCCGGGAATTGTCGAAATTGAGTTTTAGCGAAGCGGATCGCGATCGAGGCGCCCGTATTTTTTCACACGGCATGCAGACGAGCGGGAGGGGGGGG